TATGCGTTGTTATTGTTTCCGTTTTTGTTCCGTTAATCAAGTTATTTGCTGATCTTACCAAAATAATGCATATTGAGCGCAATCCTTGAATTTCAATCAAATGATAACTTCTTTTTGAATATTCTGAATTTTTGATTCTAGGAGAATCACTATTCTCCACCAGTGCCATTCCTAAACGCTAATAACTGGACATTTGCAAAAATATGGCTATTACAATATTGAAAGTGACAATTTCGAAGGTGTTGGAGAATCTCACTGAATAAGGATAATTCGTTAGTATCTTCGACGCCAGAGAGCTTGCTTGGTCCATTTGTCTACCATTTTTTTGATGAATGTTGGAAGTGTCATTGAATTAATAAAACAACAATGTGAGCTTTATAGGTATTTCGAGCTTGCCATAAAAGGGTAAAATTGGGCTTAGAACTTAATTTAAAGTTCCGTTCCTCTTTAAGAGGCTTATTTATTTTTATATCCAATAAAATAATGAGAAATAAAAATAATTTAATTTCTAATATTCGAGAAATTATCGTAATATCATACTGGTGAGCATAATAATAGTATTTAGTATATGGTTCTTTAGCCTTAATTATGGCTTTAATCTGATTAGGCAAACTCCAAATTAAGTGATGTAACGTTTTAATGCTAATTTTTCTCTATTTCTCCTTTACTATATTAATTAATTCCTGTTTAGACTTAGGTGGAGCTTTCTTTTTCGAACTTGACAATCCAAACGATCCCACAGATTCTCGACCGAATTAAAATCTAAGCTTTAAGCCACCTAATCTAATATTGGAATGTTATGTGTTTTTATTCATTAAACACTATAAAACAAGGTATAATATGAAATCCCATCTTGCTGAAAATAGAGTTTTGATAATTACTAACCTATGATATAAATTTATTAGCTAGGATGTTAACATAATCATAAGAATCCATGTTTCCTTTCACAACAACCAAGAGTCTAACTCCATTCCAACCAAAACAACCCTAAAATATTATTGATTCTTCATCAAACTTAATTTAGACTGAATATAATCTTTATTATAAACTTCTTCAGGACTTCTCTATACTCTTGCTTGACTATCTGATTTAAAAAGAGTAAACCTTAACTTGTCTGATCATACTATATATTTCTACTCTTTTTTTTAATTTTTTTTTCTTTGCATTATTTTAACTGATCTTTTTAGTGTTTTTCAATTAAATAAGATTTTTTTTGTATGTAACATGACTTCTAAGATTCTCATTATGAAGATATTTCTAATAATATTACAGTGTAGAATGATGTTAAGATGAGAGTTAAACTTATCAATTATATTACTTAGAGAAGAAAATTGGTTAGTACGAACAATATATTGTAAAATACATGTATCATATTAAATTAAAATTTTTTTGCATTTAAAATGTTTCTGAGATATAGTAAAATCTGTTTCTTTATATCTTTTAATAATGTTACTAACTGTATTAGAAGGAATATTAAGCTGAGTAAAAATAATTTTTTGTTTAATATCACTAAGATAAGCATTAATGATGCTAGGCAAAATTGAAATATTTAGTTATATGATGATATTGAAACTATTTAGACGCTTTGCAGTAAAAAAAAGGAGAAAACTACTGAAAAAAAATTTTTTTACTTTTTAAACTAAATATTATTTTTTAGTAAATAAATCCAGATTTAATATTAACAAAAATTTTTTTGATAATTTCCTCCCTTTTTACTGTAAAACACCTATTTAATTTTAATAATTAAAATGCCAAATGCTAAAACTTTATTTTCATGAATTTTTTATAGATATTTTATAGATTTCATAATTATAACTTACAATTTTTAATAATATTTTATTTTATTATAAATTCATGAAATTTAGAATTTTTGTAAATAAAATATTATTTATTATATTTACTATATGAAAAGTTTAATAAAAAAAATAGAGTTCTAAAAAATCTTTTAACAAAATTTTGATTTTTATTGCATTTTAGTTTTGATATTATTAGATTAAATATAATAAGTTCTTAATTTTAGTTAAAAAATTTTCAGAATCTGATTTTCTAGTAAACTTCTCATATAAATAATTTTTATTTATAATATTAATTAGTAATATTTTTTTGATTATATATTTAATTAATATAAATAATAAAAGATTTAAGTAAAAATTAATAAATATTGAATAATAATATATTCTTTAATAAAGATAAATAAATAAAATTTATAATTTATATATTATAAAGTAATTTAATCATTTAGTTATTTACTAAAAGATTAATTAAAATTTAGATTTTAGTTAAAGGTTTAGACTTTAATTAAGAATTAATCAAATATAAAATTTGATGAAAATTTAGTCATAATAAAAATAATTTAGGTAAATATCATTAATAAGTACTAATAATTCATTTTCATTAAGAGTTTGATAATCTGTTATCTCATATTTAAAACTAACAAAAAAGTAAAAATAGATTCTTTTTATATTTTTTCTTTTTATATATTTTAGAGATAATTGACAATTGTAATACTAATTTACTAATTTACATAATAAAAATCTAGTAAATTATTATAATCCTCTGTATAAAATTATGATTTCAATATACCTAATATAGTATTAATTTAATAAATACATAAAAGATATAGTATATTTTAAAATGTAAATTCATATTATTTGCATTATTTAATTTATGAATAATTATCATTATAAATATTAAAATAATTCTAATTTAATTAAGATAAACTTAGTAATCAATAATCTTTAGTTAATGATCTGTATTAAATAGTATTAATAAATAAAATAAAACATTTTAAATAACTAATTTTCTATTATTTCTAGAAATATTTATAATATGAATTTATTATGAAAATTTAAATAAACTATATTTATTTCTAATTACTAAATTATTACAATTATCTTGTTTGAATTAGAATTGTTTTAATATTTTAATAATTAATATATTTTTATATTTAAAATTTAATATATAAAAACTTGATTAATAATAAATGTCTGATTTAATATCTGATTTAATTTGATTTAAAAAATTTTTTTATATACAACTCAAATTATTAATATATATTATAATATTTTATTAGTAAATTTTAAGTTTTTATTTTTTATATTTTTTTTTTTAATATTTAAATTATATATATAGAAGACCATTAAAATTTCCAAATATTTTTTAGCTAAATAAATCATTTAAAATTTTTAAAATTTATTAAAAATTTTATTAAATATTTATTAAAAATAAAATATAAATAAATTTCATACTAATTAATTAGTATTTAGTCAAGTTTCCATTTGCTTTAATTATTGTGTCATATGGGATCTTTGTAATAGAAAAGGGGAAAATGGCTGAAAAAAATAAAAAATGAGTTAATGCTAAATCTGAACATATTTTGACCTAAAAATTATATTTGACATATAAAAGAAAATTAATTTTTTCTAGCTGTTTTCCCTTTTCTATTGCAAAGGTCCTATATTATTAATCAAATTTTTAATAATATTTATAGAAATTTCTCTTTATAACTTCTTAATATGTCTAGTTCAGCAATATTAAAAGGCACTTTTTTTCCTTTTACAGATGCTTTTCTTAATATCAACTCACAGTTTTTTGATCAAATTGATATCTAAACTTTGAGTATATCAGAAAATGTAATATAGTATAAGGTTGCATAAAACTTACAAATTTGTATAGTTTACGCAAGTTTATAGTTAAAGTATTTCATAATTTTTGCAAAATATGATAGTTAAGTAATACTACAGTTGATGTACTCTGTAATATTAACATACTGTATGATTTACGAAAGTTTACGGTCAAAATATTTCGTAATTTTTGTAAAATGTGATAGTTATATAATACTACAGTCAATATATTTACAAACTGTATAATTTACAAAAGTTTATAATCATAATTTTTGCAATATATTATAATTACGATATACTACTAAATAGAGTACTCTATTATATTTACAAATTATATAATTTACGAAAATTTACATTTAAAACATTTTGTAAGTTTATATTATATTATAATTATGATATTCTACTGAATGGAGTACTCCGTAATATTTACAAACTATATAATTTATGAAAATTTATGGTTAAAGCATTTTGTAACTTTTGCGATATATTATAATTATGATATATTACTGAACAGAATACTCTAAAATATTTACAAACTGTATAATTTACAAAAATTTACAATCAAAGCATTTTGTAATTTTTGTAATATGTTATAATTATAATATACTCTGAACATTTATGTATACTTATGGTCAAAGCATTTTTGTATAACATAAAAAAGGTTACTACTAACAGATAAGATCTTATGTATCACTACTCTGTTTCACATACATGCACCAAAACTTTTCTTTTTCTGAATTAATATTTATGACTTTTATTTAGAAACATTAGAATTTTAATAAAAAATTTTTTTCTCTTAGATTTTCTTTTAAATATTTACTAAGTTACTATTTGTATAATTTATATTTTATGCTATCTATATTATATTTTTTAAAACTTTTAACCTTGCTATAATAAGCAATTACCTAATTTAATTAAAGGCTTTTAATTGTATTCTGGTATGACTGAGTTTATGAAAGTCTATTAATATATAAAGTATATATTATGATATAAACTATATATTCACAAGCCTAATTCTTTACACTGTATTAAAAAATTGATTCAGCCTACTGATCATATTTAAGCTATAATTTAATGTTTCAGACGAGTGATTGACAAAATATTTTATCATTTTTATAACGCCTAAAATATCAACTGAGAATCAATAGCTGAAAAATAACCAATATTAAAACTTTATATATAAATATAATAAAAATAATATATTAATAAACTAGTTTAAAATTAAGAATATCTAACAAATAATATTTTTAAATGATGTTTCAATACCCATTTTATCCAAAAACCTTTTCCACTAGATCTGCTTATAGTTAACATGTTAGTTTTTACATATCTGCTGCTGAAAATAGCGAAGAATCTGATATAAATGAAATTAGTGAAATGTCATTAAATGATCAAAGTGTTGAAATCAATGAAAATGATCAAAGTTTTTTAAATTATAATGACCAAAACACATCAATTTTAGAATATGATAAATAAAGTATGTTAATTTTAGAAGGTGGTTACTAAAATACGTTAATTCTAGAAGGTGATAATCAAAGCATGTTAATTTCAGAAGGTGATATTCAAAACATATCATTTTCAACAGATAATAAAGAATCTGTCTTTGATGATATCTTAGAAGATACTTTGAAAGAATTTGAATCTAAATCTGAAGTAAATACAAATTATCCAAATGAAGCATATAGTGATTTAATGGCATTAGTTATAAACTATAAATTTAGTAATAAGACAGGTAATGCAATAATAAGATTTTTTAATAAACATAAATCTTAATACATCTCCACTTCCAAAATCTATTCAATAAGGATGCATATATATAGATAATATGAATTTATTATGTTTGACATATCAAAAAACTTATATAATAGATTATAATAATAAGGAATATTATTTTTATTATTGATCTTTATTAAATTATATAAAAAATATTTTATTTATTTCTGATATATCATGAAACTTTGCATTAACTTTTAAAAAGCTTGAGATAATTATTTTATTTTATTGAGCTTTTAATATTTATATTAATAATATGATATATATCATTAATATATATATAACATGACAAAGAAAAAATATACAGTAAAAAAATACTGGAATATGATAGGAAAATACAGAAAAAAACCATCCCATATTATTCTAAAATCTTATTAATAATATTATATTCAGATACTACTAATGTTGACACATTGGAAAAACGTAATCTTCATCTTATTTATGTGTTAATTGACAATATTAAAAATTGGAGATATAACAAACCAGATATTAAACAACTACTAGGATACTTGCTAATCCTAAAAGTTAGTGATAATACTGAAAAACAATCTGAAAACTTTAAGAACGTTACTTGTGAAGTCTTTCACAAATCTTTAGAAGTTTTGTTAAATCCTCTCCTAAATAATAATAGCATAGATTTAACTTTAAATAGCGAAATGATTTGGTTTAGTCCTCGAGTTTCAATCATAATTGCAGATTAGCCAGAAGCTACAACATATTATTTTACTTTCAAATTATCTATATCAAATTTTCCCTATCATTTTTATTTAGTCAGAAAAACAATCTTGCAAATATTAATTTAACTACAAGTAACATAGAACTACGAATACATGATAATATAAGCCAATTTTTTAATCAAAATTTAACAAGATCTGTTTGCATTAAAAAAGTGCATAATTTTTTTTGGAAACTACCATAAGTTTACTTAGCATTTGTATTACAAGATTTATTATATTTATTTTAATATTTTATTTGTCTATTTAAGTAATAAAAATATTTATGAAGTTACAGTATCAGATAGAATATATTATTTCAATTTAGGTTTATTTCATTATCAAATTGAGTATATAAGAGAAATTTTAAAAAATCAGTTTGACAATTTTTTAGTAGATGAAATAGATTGTAAGTTAGCTGCAATATCAAGATTTTTTGAATTAAAGATCTTTACAAATAGTTTATAATTAATTACTAGATTAACTGCTGATGAACATCGTAGCTTAATTAAAGTAATAGTTTTTGTGATAGATAATCTATATAAAGAAAATACAAAAGGAGTTAAAAATTTTATTAAAAATAAAGATTTGATACAACTTTATAAAGCATAAAATGATATATATGCAATTAGTAGATTTAAAATGTTTAAATAAAGTGATCTGAACAAATTTAAGATATATATAGTAACACTAAACTTAAAAAAGCTTCTGCATTCTAATACTTAAATCTTTTTAGTATTCAATAGATAATTGGTCTCGAAGATTTATAAAAATTTTTCAAAATATCTCTCCATTAAGGTTAAAATTACCAAAACTACATTCATAGATATATCATATAATTGATTCAATTCAATCATTTAATATAATTAATAGATATACCATAGAGACTTACAAAAGTCTTCACAAAGAATATGTTAAAAACCTATACTGATTAAGTAATAAAAGGAATATTGAAACTCAAATAATGAAAATGGTAAGTAATATAAAAATTTACAAATAATACGATATTATATTAAAATTATTTATATAATACAGATTTGATAATAGTCAATTACAAATTTAACCCATTCATCAACAAAATTGCCAACCATTCCTTATGTATTTAAATTCTCTGCAAAACTTATTAAATTTAAATTGAGTGATGTAAACACATTTTTTGAGGAAAAGGATTCAGATCCTAAAATAAATAATAAAATGAAAATCAGATTTACTAAATTTGTAAAAAATTTAAATTTATATTTAGATCAAGTATCTGATATAATTTTTACAAATGAATGCAAAGTGAAAATATATAAATCTGTTACATTAGAAAATCTTTCTATTTTACACAATAATAACAAATATCATAGCTAATTTTGGTTTAGCAATGTGTCTATTTACATGAATTCTAATGAATTATTTGAATATACTTCAGATCAAGACATTTGTTACAGACAGGTAAATAGTTTAATTTTATTTAATATTAAATATAATATATTAATAAATTTAATATTTATTCTTAAAACTTTATTAAGGTTTTATTAATAGTGAAAATAAACATTGCAGAATAAAATATTTCATTAAATTTCACATTAATTAGGTGGTATGACTTCAAATCTCAAAGTAATCCATATCTTTATGGATGTTTTCAATTAGAACTTACAGAAATTTATAACTTTATTAACATAGAAGCTATACTAGATATAGTACAGTCAACTCTTGTTATAACGAACTCTATGTCTTAGATCTCAACTTCACTATAAGGCTATAGTGAAGATTTTAAGAGATTTGATTGGCCAATTCGCTATAACAAGAGTATTTTTATTATATTTGTTCAAAAAATTCGTTATATCAAGAGTTCGCTATACCAAGTGTTGACTATATATATTATATCATGCTTTGATTTAAATAATAAATATTTTGTTAACAGATTTATATTTTAGTTTCAATAAATTTAAATCTTTTGTAATAATTTTTTTAATATACTATAGATGCCTGCCGAAACCTTCTCAAAATAATTTCGTCATATCCTTTTCTATGTTTTTAATATAGTTTCGACAGTTTCAGTTTTCATTATATCAAAAGAGTTTCATTGTATCCCTTATTATGATTTTAATATAGTTTCGTCTAAGTTTCGACTGTTATTAAGGGGTTTCATCCCTCATCATTATAATATACAATAATAATTTTTATTTTGTAATATTATTTTATTAATTTTAAACTTATTGATTTATAGTATGTAACATAGTAATTGAAGTAAAAAATTTTATTGTATATAACTAATTCAAATATATTTTTAATTATAATTATATTTTATATAAAATTTCGTAAAATTAATATTATTTTAATAAAAAATACATAATATTTCAACTTTTATAACCAATTATATCCATAAATATAATAATCAAAGCCACATTAATATAAATAATTTATTTACTATCAACAACATAAGATCTTCAATTAACTTCTCACTAATGTAGTTTTTAAGCTCATTAATATAAATAATGTATTTACTATTAACAAACATAAGATCTTCAATTAACTTCTCACTAATGTAATTTTTGTAATTTTTAGAGGTGTAAACTTAAAAGAATAATATCTTATATTTATAAATTATTTTTTACAATGTTATTGGCTTTTCAAATCAAACTTTCTTTTGATTAGTAATATATATAACACTCAATGGACTGAATCAGAAGGTGAATTTTTTTACAAATATCTTGTGAATTCTAATACAAATTTAGCATGATTTACTAGTATATAGTTTATATAGTTTATGCATTATTTGTTTGTTTATTGTATTATGCATATACACTACCCTATTAAAAGTATCTGGTCAATCAATTTAAAAATTATATTTTATTATAATATTATAAATTTTTAATATTTAGTTAGCCATTCTTAACTTTTAATACATGCTTCTATCTGACGTGGCATGCTTTCAATTAAATTAATATAAGTTTCAGATGGAATTTTTTTCCATTCTTCTTGCAATGCTTTTTCAAGTTCATATAAATTTTTTGGATATCCCGATCATTTTCAAAGTCTTCATTCTAGTTCATGTCACAAATGTTCAATAGGATTAAAGTTTGGAGATTAAGAAGGCAAATCTGGAAGAATCTTAATCTTTTTCATTATAATCCAATTTTTGACATCCCTTGCAGTATGAACAGGAGCATTATCATCCTGAAATGCATAAGGCTGTTTACGATATTTAAAATGGATGAATGATAATAAATTTTTTTCTAAAATGTCAATGTAACCAAATCTATTCATTTTACCATCTACTTTTACCAATGGTCCTAATCCTTTTCCTGAAAAACATCCCCATACCATAACACCTCCACCACCATATTTAACCGTTAGTGTTAAATTCTCAATATTGTATCAGGTTCCATCTTTTCACCAAATACGAATAGGACTATCATTTTGAAAAAGGGTAAATCTGAACTCATCACTCCAGATGACAGTTTTTCACTGTCTAACTGATTAATTTTGTCATTCCATATACCATGACAATCATTTTTCACGTTGAGCTTCAGTAAGAAGTGGTTTTGGTACAGAAACCTGTGAATTAATCCCTATTTGATGAAGGTTTCTACGAATGGTTATAGCTGAAATTTTTTTATCTTGTGAACTATTAAATTTTTGTTGAATTTCTTCAAGAGAAAGTCAATTGTTTTTTTTGACAATTTTTGAAAGGTATAATGATTATCATTATTCATAGAACATGATCTTCCGGTTCTTTAGCTGTTAATCTATTGTTGAGATTTTTGTATTGAGAAATTGTGTTTGTAATAGTACTTTTTGGAATTTTTAAGACATGACTAATGGCTTCATGAGTCCTTCCTCCTATCCAAAGTCCAATAACTTTTCTACGCTCAAATTCATTTAATTCGCAATTTTTTCCCATGCTTCAAAAGTGCAGTAAAAAGTTAAAGATCATCACTACGCAAAATTGATCATTGTTTTTATTTTTATTGCCAAATTTGGTATATACATCATAATAAAAAATAAATATATAAATTTTATTTGTCAGAATCAGAGCATTTATTTAAAAAAAAAATTTATATTAATTAATATATTCGATCTCAAAATAATCAAAAAGAGCTTGATCGGATACTTTTGATAGGGTAGTGTATCTATGATTTTTCAGATTTTAAGATTTTGACAGCAAACTCAAAAAGTAATAGTAATCACCTTGCTATTTTACAAATTTTTCATGAAAATAATTTTTCACATCATAACACTTTCGTATTTTTACAGAATTAGCAACTTACTTAATTGTATTAGTTTCATAGATCTCATCTACAATATAAGTCTCTCTTTATATAGAAAAACTTTCAGTAAACTTTCGCAAATATGTCACAAATTCTTTTTTTCACTTTTTTTTTCTTAGTAAAAAAGACTCATATTTCTTGGTTTCCTTTCTTGCTAAAAGACTCATATTTAATATATTCATAATTTTTATATTTAACTTAATTTTTCGAAAGTTTCATCATTTTATCTTTTTCCTTTTTTTTACAAAATGAATAAAACTTAAAACAAAAGCAAAGCTGTAGAAAATAATAATAATATGATCACTAAAACTGCTAAGCCCAGAACTACTAGCAAAAGAAAAGCTGTAGAGGATGACTTGGTTGTTAAAACTGTCAAATCTAGAGATATTTTCTTTTTCATATTATTATCATTATCAGATAACTTCTAATTTTGTTCTAATTTTGCATTCACTTATAGAGATTCAAAATAAAAGACATTCATATATAAAAGTTTTAGAACTTATTGATGACTCCCTTGAAGGTAATATATTATGAAATATATATAAGTCGTCCCTCTCTATAGTCACCTCTTATATAATCACATTATATAAATCCCTCATTATAAAACACACATTTATAAAATAAAAATACCTAATAATGTTATATAAAAAAATTCCTTTATAATCACGCGTTTTTATAGTCACACCCTTTCAGAACTAACACTTAATAACAATATATTAAAATTTTTCT